TCCTTTTTTGGGGGGGGGGGGGTCCATTTGGGTATTTGAATTTTGAAGATCAGCTACTTAGACATCACATTCATGATAGAAATGGTTCCTAGCACTCTGAATGTATTCTATTGATAGCCCGATGTTTAAAAATTTAAAAGATAATTGCTTTAATACCTGTAGAATTTTTTTTTGGCAAAGTTTGCTTTGTCTATTCTATGCTACAATCTTTCCATCCTAAATTTATTTAATTCTCCATCATTTTTTATCAGGAGGACTAAGGTGAGTGTGTATGTAAAATGAATAATAATGTTACAAAATTTCGTTTTATAAAATATTTAGAAACTACATATTTGGAGGTGAAGTTTTTCAGTTCTGATAATAACTGAAGGGTTTTCCTTCAAAGCTTAAAATTGTAGCTGCTTTCGGATGTTGAGTAAATATTGGTTTTCTTCTACATCCTGGATTAAATTTCACTCATCCGAGTGATTTAGGGCTTTAGAAATTGTTACTGAAATGTTGGTTTAAAATGTCCTGTTTTTATGTTTCCTCCCATGTGGACTATGATACATTTTTAACATTTGTGTTTTGTCTTTTATTGCTCAGTTTTCATGTGAACCCGACAAGCAGTGAAGACCTCAGGAAAATCCCGGTAAGTTGCAGAGGGGGTTAGAGAAGCAGAAAGCAAGCCACAAGCCAGCCTTCTGTCGGGCACACGTTTCCAGAAAGGCTCCCATCCCCTCGAATCCCTGTTACCTACCGATTATAGCTTAGCATGATAATTTGGGGAGAAAGAAGAAAAGCAAAACCCAGTCTTTATTTTTAATATATGATAGGGTGTGACTTTTATACAATTAATAGAACTTCAGGTAAACATCATTATAATTGAAGCCTGCTTAGCATATACATATTTTGTTTGCAGACTGTTTTAAAATTAATATGAAAGCTGTATGGCAAGGTCAACATTATTGTTAGGAAATAAGAGCATGTGGAGAAAACGATTTGTTGTTGGGACAAATACTGAAGAAAGAATAATACCGTTTATTAACATTCAACAATCTTGCATCCTGGCAGGAAATGCAGTTAACCAGGAGTGCATTTGAAAGAACCTTTAGGACACTAACCTTCCCAGACAGAACAAAACCATACATATTAGCGGGCTTGGTGTAGCCAGCAGTCGAGTTAAGCTCACATATCTGGCAAAGATCATTCAGGTATCTTAACTTCATGCTTTTGTTATTTGAAATCCAGCTTTGGATCTCTGTTCAGAGTTCCATTGCATCTTCAGTCAAATCGAAATATATTAAACCTAGGAAAGAAGTTACTTTATCAAAATGTGGGCACGTGTTCTTGGTAGAAAACTAAATTCTCATTGAATAACAGAAGTAGAGCCTTTACTCCAAGATGCTGGTGGTTGCTCTTTGAACCATCTGCCCTTAATGTGTGTGATCCAGATGTATAATAAGAATTTTTTAAAGCAATAACACATCACAATTTTCTATGATGAGCTATGCCCAGAAGAAACCATGGTAGTGTATAAACCATTGTAAATGTAGTTATTTCTTTAAAATTATAGAAAACATTATAGAAGCTTTGTGCTGTGTTCTTGCTGTTTTATGTAAATGATTTGTAAGTTTTTATGCTTCATAAATACTCCAGTCTTTATAAGATGCAGTCTGGCGAGAAATGTCAGAATATCTGAAGTGAGCCTTTGATCAAATAGTAAAATGAATTCTATCAGGCAAGTTACTTAATCTCAAACAAAATGCAAACATCAAAAAATCGATTTCATGTGTAGCTATTGTTTATTAAGTAACCTTAATTACAATTTCTATGTGCTTGTAAATGTATTTTTCCAAATCTTGTAATTTATTGCTGTAAAAGCATCCTTAGAATTCTTTAAAGAAATAAAATGTGAAAATTGTTTTAGTTAAAGGATTTAAAAGTGATAAAAGAATCCTTGATGTGTGATTATTTTTCTCGGGAATACTAACGATTCTAAAGGACAGTTAAAGGATTACTTAGGTGTTGTTAATTTACTGCAAGATACAAATAGGAGGAGGAACCCATCCTCAGACCAATCGTTTTTTGAGGAAAAGTATTTGAACAATTTTTATGTTGAAGATTAGAAGATGTTTGAAGTAATTTACATTAAGTTCTCCGATAATAGCCATCCACCAAGTTATTTTTCCCCCTTCTGGACATAGTATTTTGTAATTAAGTTTGTATGTCTTATATGCTAGTGCCAACACCTGTCTGTGAAAGCACAGTGTTTAAACAGGAGCAGTAGCCAGTTGAAAGGGCAGTGTGAGCTCTTTAAGGCCTAATTAAGAACTGAAAGGGAGATGAAGGGAGTAGGACAAAAGATGTGAAAGTAGCTGAGATGATATTCCCAGAGCAAAGTTCCTCATTAGAACAATAATGAGATGATCAGAGAATGCCAAGCCTTCGTCTTATCTCTCTCTCTCCCCTCTAGTTGCCTTGGATGTCAGTTAGTGCCCCACCAATATTTGGTTACCAGGACAACCTTTCTTTAAATCTTCAGTTATTTTGAGTCCTGATAATTTGCTTTTGTTCAAATTTAAATATTGTAAAAAGAATATATACATTTCCTAGTTTACTGTGTAAAGTAAAAATAGATCACTAGTGATTCTCAAAGTCTTTTGCACAACTATATGTTATTTAAGATTTCGATTAGAAAACTTCATGTAATAATTCTGTTCTCTCACCCAACACCTAATTCCTTATATCTGCATATGGAAATTTTTAACAGAGGTTGGGTGTGAATGAAAAAGAATTGGTTGTGAAAGGGGAAGAAGGAAGAAAAATTTACATTTCAATATCAGACGACATCTTAAAAACATATGTGCTGTCTGTGTGGAGTGCTGGAGGAAATAATGTTGAGTACTTAGGCGTCCCATGTAGGTTACTTGAGTCTATACCAATAATTTATATTTTCCTGAGAGTTTTCCACTTTAAGCAAAATACTTTTTTTTGGCTTATTTTAATTTTCTATTGTACATATGAATTGATATCAGTTGTTATTATTTTATTTGGAATTATTTCAACAAACAAGGATATATATTTATTGAGTGTATCACTTTAAGAATCTTATGCCTAAAATTAAAAGGTATTTACCTGCTTTTCAAATATGGGATAAAATCTGGAACTAAGCATAAGACTTTTTAATTATTTTATATATTTTTCAGAATATAGTTTATAGTCCATGTGTTTCTAAAATGTTTTTCTGCCTAAAAACTTGATGCAGAAATTTGGGGTAAAATTTTCACATGAAAGGACAAATGGAAAATTTATTGAAAGGGTCAGAAGTGTATTTCCAGGAAGTCTGCCTATACATAAGTATTAGAAGGTTGTAGGGGAACAAAATGAACTGAATAATGGATCTGTATATTTTAGATTATGGCTGTATAGTGTAACACTATTCCAGGATAATAACTAATTATTCTGAGATTAAATTGTTAGATAGTCATGAAACAAAATTTAGACTATGTCAAAATAAGAATATTTTGACATTTTTCATCCTCATCGTCTCTAGAGAAATATTTAAAAAATATTTTAGCTACATTTTCTGGTATTACTGGTATAGTGCTAAATATAACAATGTAAGTGATTTTCTAACTATGTTCATCACTTAATTTGTTTGTAGAAGTCAGTTCATATGTGTATAATTTGATTAAGATTAGAGAGACTCACACATGTGATTCTTAAGTTAAATTAAGAAAAACTTAAGTCAACCAATCAGTAATGAATCCCATTTAGTTTTATTTCATGAATCCTTGCAGTTCTCACCAGAATCCCTATTTTTCAGTAAATATTTTATTAGAAAGATGAAATCATATTAGTTGGGTGGTATTACTTTTTAAAAATGCAGTTCAGAAACACCACTATGTAAACCAGGACATTTTAGAGTTAAAAGACCTTGGAGAACATCTCATTTGTCAAAGTGAGAGCTAGGTTGGTCTCTGTCTCAGAGACCAAGTTAAAGTGAGGAATTTTAGCTTATTTTTAATAAATTAAAAAATATATACTTACCTCTATAGCAGTGGTTCTCAACCTTCCTAATGCCGCGACCCTTTAATACAGTTCCTCATGTTGTGGTGACCCCCAGTTTCATTGTTACAAATTGAACATAATTAAAGCATAGTGATTAATCACAAAAACAATATGTAATTATATATGTTTTCCGATGGTCTTAGGCGACCCCTGTGAAAGGGTCCTTCGACCCCCAAAGGGGTCGCGACCCACAGGTTGAGAACCGCTGCTCTATAGTGTATCTTTTCTATAGAAACCTGCTTAATAATTATTTAATAAGAATGTGGCTAGGAAATTATATTAATATTTTATATCTCTATTCATGACCAATTAAATAAACTATTCAATACATGAGAGGGTGTGTGTATTGAGACTTAATCTTAAAAAAGATGAATTGATCAGGGAGAAGAGAATAAAAGTAGATTAACAGAATTGTCCTTTAACTGTTGCAGAGTAACATTCTGAAATGTTTTTAGAGACAAAGGTAATATAACGCATGAGGTTGTATCTTCCCAGTTTCTAATGTTAAAACAAAATAAGGTGTTTTAAATATATCTTACAGAACTTAAACTCACTTCCCCTTAGCAGTCTCCCTATTCATTCTGTTGATCTGGTGGAGGCCCTCATCAGTATCTGGTCTGTGATATTTCAATGGCTTTATAACTAAACTCAGCCCCTCCAAGTGATTTTCCCCACTGCTGCCATTTTCGTTGTCCTAGAACGTGGCTTCAGTCATATCTTTCTTGTCTACGGAAACCTTCGAAGGCTTCCTGTCTCCACAGCAATAAACCTACAAGTCTTAGTGATGGCATTGATCCTCTCTCAGCTCCCAATCCTGAACCTTCCTTGCCGGCCATTCTGTACCGATGACCTGTTTGACCACCGTGCCTCCAGCCTTGCTTCTTCCTTTGAACAAACTGAGCCACTGCTTGAGCTGCACCTTTTGCATTTCCGCCTGGTGCCAGCTAGATCTTCTCCACAGAACCGGAGAGATTCTGTGGGGCTGGGAGAGTGTCCCCTTCCTGGATTTCTATTGTTATCCCGGAGAAGAAAGTGTGGTTGGATAACTTACCCATCAAATTGATGCCTGTACTCAAGCTTGATTTTTGGTGTTGGCAATCCTGGTGCCTGCGGGAAGAGGGGATAAAAAGTTACACTTTGGCTTTACTCATGGAAACTTCTAGACACATAGCAAATTAAAGTAGATCCTGAAAATGAGTAAAAGCAAATTTAATGTCTATGAAAAATGGAAAAAGAACCTTTCTGCATTCATTGGTCCCCATTCTCTGTCTCCCAATGAATAGATTAGATACTGCAGTCTGAAAGAGCAAGACCAATTTCCCCAGTATTTTATTTTCCTTAAAGCCAAATGGAAATGTTTTGAATGAAAGTGATAAAAAACATTTTAATTTGTTGAGCTTAGTGATAGAACTATGTATAAAAAGACATAAAAAATATTACTGGTAATTTATGTGTGGGCTTTATATTTTACATAATGAAAAATCTAATTACTATCCACTATAAATGGATGATGACATATTTTATTAAATTCTTGAGAAATATTTTTCTTTTAATATTAGGATGCATTGTAATGAAAATTAATTAGGTCAATGCCTTTTGTCTTTTTTGTTTATATTTATACATTAATGTAAAAAAGAATTTTCATTAATGGAATAACTTTCACAAAGTAAATCAATAGTGAAATGGAAGAGAATGCAGATATACTAATACTAAATATTAACGTGATCATAGTTGAACTCTGAGTTTCCTGATAACAAGGGCAAAAAGGGAAATAAGATAAGGTATAGAGGTATTGCTACTATGAGATAGAAATGAACTAGTTACTCGGGGGAGGAAAAGCTGTTTGCCTCTAAATTAAATCAGAAGTTACTCCCATGGGAGCATCTTATAAGATTTAATTCCGAATGCCTTCAACATTTCATAGCAAGAAGCAGATTTGATCTTGCTGCTGCTTGTACCCATCTTCAATAAAGTCAAAGACATAGCATTAAAATACAGTTCAGCGGAAGCAGTTTGATGAGCACTAAACTAATGTCCAAATGTATAGTTTTCAACAGCTTCCTATACTTCCTCTAAGTTAATTCTTAGGGGTCTTTAATTTTTACCTATTTCAGTTAAATTTATTAGAGAACATTTTATCTGAATCTTAAGTTGTATGTCTGTCTCTTTTACTAGGACATTGTCCACACTGTAAAAAACGATTGTAGAAGAATTTAGAGTTAGAATAAGGGCTTTGATGCCTCTGACCTGACCCAGCGCTTGCCTCAGAACTGACTAGCCGTTCTGTGAACTGTCACGTTGGTTCTCGCCAAGGACAGAGAAAAACCAGAAGCTGAAGTTCAGAATAATTCTGATTTTGTTCCTGAGAACTAAAGTGCCGGCCTCTCTCCCGTTCTAGGACAGCAACCCTTTTGACGCCACTGCCGGGTACCGCAGCCTGACCTACGAGGAGGTCCTGCAGGAGCTGGTGAAGCACAAAGAGCTGCTGCGCAGGAAGGACACCCACATCCGGGAGCTGGAGGACTACATCGACAACCTCCTCGTGCGGGTCATGGAGGAGACGCCCAGCATCCTCCGAGTGCCCTACGAGCCGTCCAGGAAGGCTGGCAAGTTCTCCAACAGCTAACGAGCCATTTGTGCTGCCTTGGTAATTGGGGGAAGAAAGAGGGGAAGAAAAGGAAAGAGAGAAGGAAAGACTTGTTACCGGAAGAGACTGCACTTGCAGGTTTCAGTCCAGGCTCGTCCGTTGGGAAAAGGTGTTTTACTTATAAATATGAGCGGGGACTGTCAAGAGTGACCTTTGAAGTGAGCTCAATAATTAAAACTTTGAAAGGGAAAAGGGCCAGATTCCAGATAAGTCAGCAGCTCCTTGGGATTCCCTGGGGTGCTGGCCAGCCCGCGCACCTGCCCGAGGCCCAGGCATGTCTTCAGAAGTCGTGGCTCATTCCTCAGGAAGATTTCTCATGACTTGACATTGTGAGAATTGATACTGTGGTTGGTTCCTGAGCATTCAATTTGTAGACAGTTCAGCTGCAGGAATACTGCTCATTATAAACACTACTTCCAAAACAGTTCGTATTTTATATACATCCGTATGTACGTGAATATAAGTTCGTGTATCTTTGCATATAAAATACGTGCATATACCTCACATATACATGTGTTTTTAGGACATTTAAAATCAGTTGGTTTCCTCTAAAATGATACCAGTTTCTCAATTGGAAAATATATGTGCGCTCAACGAAGCATCATTGCTACTGCAGTATTACGTGTGTGTAGGGGAGCTGCTTCAAGTCACTCTTGATTCTGAACCTTGGTTTCAAAATGAGCTGCTACTATGTTACTCCAGCGTCAGATGTTTGCTCTTTATCCAAAAGTAATGCTCCAAAGGCCTTGTTGAAGAATGAAATGTTTTAGGAAAGTCCATTAACTTCAAACAGCGCGGATTTCTTGAATTCATTTTTCAGCGTAACATTTGAGTTTTGTCTAAGCTACAAGCGGGAGATAAGCTAATGTAATTTGTTTTCTTGCCATTCTAAATGCCTATAAAACACTAGCAAAGAAAATAGTAAGAATTAAAGCTGAAGATAACTTGGAGGGTAAAAGTAGGTGATCATCCGATGCCTGATAACCCAAAACAGTGGGCAGATTCTCGGAATAGAGAATTAGGCTTGGTTTCAAGTTCCATAAATAATAGAACAGATGGTTGCATTTGGGTCTTGAACCAAAATAACAGTTACTAAAGAGTGAGTTTTTAGAACAGATCTTTATTAGCATGACGTTACACATTAATCTGCATCTACCCTTTAAGAATTGATTTATCACCAAATTATATGTCCACTTTTTTTTTATGTCTGCTTCTCCAAAATGTTGAATACTTCCATGAGTCATCTTCCTGTAGTTGTACAAAATTAGTCTGAAATGTAAAGTGAAAAGCAATGGTTATAAAAATAATAATTACAGCTTATTTTTTACCTTACAATCTAAAATACTTACTATGAAACACTGTTTCTTCTGAATTTAAAATGAAAAAACACACTGTATATGGAGACATATATTTCCCAGCCTTTTAATGAAGTGCATTTTTGTCTTAATAGGCATCTGTACTAAGACTTACTTGAAAGTTAAATACAAAGCAGATATAATCATTTTGCTTATTTTAATATTCTGAATCAGATAATACTTGGCCAAGTTTATATTTAGTTCATAAGCCAAAATCCCTGTTATTTGTATTTTCTGAGTTTCTTTAGTTTTCCTATGAGAGCATACATTTTGAAATTGTGAAAATTTTCCCCAAATACAAAAATTCAGTAATTTTTGAAATGAAGAAATGGAGGAGGGAAAATAGCTGTACCAACTTTTTCTTTCATATATATATATAAAAAAATCTTTCCTAAACCTCCAAATCTGGTGTAGAATTTTATTTTTCCATTTGATATCTTAATTATTTTTAACATGGTGCCATTTTAATGAACATTTATTAAATATTTACAAAATTCTTAGCACTTAATTTTGTGTTGTTAGTATAATTGTAGCTCTTTTTACACTTTTTAAAAATATCAAAATTCATGTGTTTTTAGTATTATGACAGATTAGTTACAGATATTTTAATATGCTTTGGCCAAATTTACTCCTGATAGAATGAACCAAGATATTAGTTTTGTATTGGGGATATGTTTTATGTGAATAGAGATCGGTAAAAAGTATCATTCAAGTAACTACTATTCTTTTTATGAGGAGATTCATTTTTAAGGAGACATTCTTTGCTTGTATAAAAACTGTTAAGAATTAGATTTATCCACACGTGAGAGATTTGGTTATAACTGACTCAATATTTTTATCTTTAAATCTGAGATAAGAATTCTATTGAAAACTCATCCTGCATTTATCACTGTCTAAAAATGTTCTGTTTGAATGTTTATGAAGTTTTCCTCATGACCCAGAGTACAAGTTATTTTTCATAATCTGTCAATATAATAAACTACAAACAAAAAGTGAAAATGAGTTCCCCAGTAAACATATCAGTGTTTCCTGCGTTTGGGCAGAAGTGCATGCGGATTAGTTTTATTTGCTAGCATTGTAGAAGGAAGGCCAAAAGTCACCTTAGTTTGTTTTTCCAAAATGTAACCTTTACCAGTAGTATTCTAATGGTGTATTTTGTTAATAGTTTTGAAATAGAAATAAAAATATGTACTCATTAAACAATAGAGCACAGCACTATAGACTTATAAATGGATTTTATTTATGCTTAAAATGCATGATCAAAAATATTTCCACCGATAAGAGGATTTTTTTAAAAACCACAGAATTGATATTTATCTCAAACCTATCTTAAGTTAATATACTTCTGTTATGTAATTAAAATATTTCTATTATTTTTAAAGTAGCCTTATTTTATAACCAGTTTCCCTCCCAGTTTTAAAATTCAGTTCTGAAAATACTGAACATATTGTCCTTCCACTTATGCCTCAGTTTCATTCATTGAGTAGCAGGGTCATATCTTAGAATTGTATATAAGTGACGTGTCCCCCATTCATGAGAGACGTTTAAGTATTGCTTTTGGCTGCTCTATTCTGCCTTGAGCCTAGTTTTGCCATTCTCCCGTGAATGTAGTGCTATCCATAGATTATACATAACTACATCTATTGCTTTTGGCAGTAAATGAAGCTTTAGTTGTAATTTTCCAGCTGTGAAAATGTTGCCTTGTATTGAAAGGGCTTCAGGACTGGAAACCTAAGTAAAACCCAGCTCATTAGTGACAGCTTTGCTTTCCTGCCTTCACCAACTCCTCTGCCCTCCCTCTCTCCCCCCGCCCACCACCCCTGTGAGGGTGCTTGCTCTTTAGCAAGGAGAATCTAAAAAAACACAAAAGAACTGGCTTTAATATATCTCGTACTTGTTACACTGGAGCTTTTCTCTTCCTCCGGCTTTTCAGGCAAAGCTCCCGGCCTCGGGTCTGTGAGTGAGGCTGGGACTTTTTGATGTCCGTGTGCTCATATGTCTTGTAGATATGCTAGGTGTCACTGTGCGTGTGTAAGTGAAGTATGAAGCATGCTCGCTCACTTGATCTCTTTGAAGTAAGAGGTAAAGGATCACAGTGCTGCTGGTTCGTGATGGTAGATGCAAGGGTCTGTCAGCGCACATTCGAAAGCCCCCATTTTCACAGATTTATAACTCTCCTAATCCAGATGCAGCGATTGGAAGTATTTAATATGCAGTAGATGGCACCTTAACTAATTCATCTGCATCTGGAGGCTTTCGCGATGTATTTAATAAGTAGTGGAGAAGCTCTTCAAGCATTAAACTCGAGTTGGCATTTTATTTCATTTCTTTTCTATGTCAAAAAAAATCCCCTCTTACCATGGAATTGAAGTCTGTAACAAATGATACGTTGGGCCTATAAATCTTTGAAGCTTCCAGATGGTTTGTATTTTGAGGTACAGAAGAATGCTGCAGATCTAGAAATGTGTATATTTAGCAGGTACTTGAAAGACACAAGCATTATTTATAACTGAAGAGTATTACACTTGTTAAGTAAAATGCTCTTAGTAACTTGTATACATTTTTACCGATACAAACTCAAAAGTATGTAAGCCTTGCATAATGTGACAGTTGTATAATTTATGTAATCTGATGCATGAATCAGACTTTTTATATAATATATATTGATTTATTATAGTTGATTAAAGTGTTTAATCTTAATTCCGTTGTCTAATTTCTTATTGCAGATAAAACAGCGTGGTGTGTGCATTTATACACGAGTCCTCCTTGTCCTTTAAAAATAGGATGCCTCCTGTTTGACGCATTGCAGCAAGTATTCTGTAAGACCCACACACGCATTCACTATGAAAATAGTTCTGAAAATTCATTCAGAGGCGAGTGACCGAGTACCTTAGAGTGGACAGTCAACAAAAGTGTGAATGCCCTCTGTATATATACAATGTCCCCCATAGGGATAGAGCTCAAGTTTGGTAGAAAATAACATTTGAGAATGTATATATAGGCAAAGGCCTATACCCAGTGTTTTCTCGATACAGCGTCTATATATACACCTGTCTATCCAAGGGAAATAGGAACCTAAGGACCCGGGCTCGGGGCTCGGGTGTGGGGTGTGTGTGTGTGTGTGTGTGTGTGTGTGTGTGTGGCAGTGTTTAGGCAGTTGTGTTCTACATTATGAGTTGTGATCCATATGTAATAGCCTTGGACATAAATCATACGCATTTGGAACAAGGGATTTCTCTGCAGACTGGAACACCTTAGTCTCTGGTCACTCTCAAACGTGGAGGTCCCGTGTAACTCACCCGCTCACTTCCCCAGTATATCTCTAGATTGTTCCTTCCTACCTGTCCCTGGTACACACGTTTATTTTTCCTTAGTCTACGAAGACAAAGCTATTTGGAACAATTTGGAAGTAGAGAGTTATTATTCTATTAGAACGACCATTTTTCACGTAGGTTTTGTTTGAATGCACTGCCTGTCTCAAAAATGTTTCTGTGCCCTTTTCAAAGTAATGGGCCTGTGCCTGGACGCCCCACATTCTACATTTTCTCCCCAAATAACGTTACATGGTGGCACAAATGTTGTACTTTCACCTTCTTATGACGGACAGTTATATACCTATAATGACATGGATTAGAAGTACTCGATTCTGCCCTGACTGGTTTGGCTCAGTGGATAGAGCATCGGCCTGTGGACTGAAGGGTCCCGGGTTCGATTCCGGCCAAGGGCATGTACCTTGGTTGCGGGCACATCCCCAGTCGGGGGTATGCAGGAGGCAGCTGATCGATGTTTCTCTCGCATCGATGTTTCTAACTCTCTATCCCTCTCCCTTCCTCTCTGTAAAGGATCAATAAAATATATTAAAAAAAAAAAAAAGAAGTACTCGATTCTGTCTTATACTCCTCACGGCCTACAATTCGATAATGAAATTTTCAGTGGTTTCATCATTTGTTAGGCATATTCAAAAGTCAGAATTTATGCTGGGCAGCACGAAAACAGATTTCTCTAGCAGAGCTTTTCAATTATGGTGTGTGGTGGACAAATGGCAGATATGGTCCAGTTTGTTTTCATTCCAGTACCAAAGTTTGCAAATGATTTATTTATTTAATAAGAACAGAGGAAGACTGACGCTGTTATAACGTTCTATTCTACCCCGCTCTGGTGAGTGGCGTAAAGTATGTGAGACACACCACAGGTTATGGGCAGTTCCCAGCAAATTATCTTATCTGTGCTACACCTTAGAGCAGGGATTGCAAACTCAAATGTTTCCGGAGCCAGGCAGGGACGGTGGCTAATGAGGCAGGCCAGGTGTGGACGAGGAGGGATTCCTGGGGACAGTGCAATCTGGGGAGCCTGTTCTCCCCCATGAAAGTGGGCAACAGCTGTGCAGCTCCGGCTCCTCGAGGCCATATGGCAGTGAATGCACGGCCAGCGTTGCTAAACGTGATCTTTCTAGAGAAACTGAAAATACAGCTATTTCTGTGAAATACGATTTCCAAATGTTGCAAACTAATTATTTTTTTAACCAAAAATCGGAGGCCACCAGTTTGCAATCTCTTCTTTAGTGAGTCACTGTTTCTGATGACCAGTCATCCTCTCCTCCTCCTCCTCTTCTCCTCCTCCTCATCGTAGGAAGAACAAGTCAGGGTTTGGTGGTTGTGAACGGTGTTGTGTTTATTCAAAATCTGGGTGGGCCTAGGGGCATATGGGATGTGTGTGATA